CGGTGTTTCGAAGCTTTTTTTTTTTTTCTTTTTTTTTTTTTCTTTTTCTTTTTTTTTACGCAATAGAAAACAACAATGCCCCCAAAAAAATATGGGCATATAGGATATATATATATATTTTGTGCGCTAAAATATGGGAAAAAAATTGTTGCACCAAACTTGGCTGGTCGGCTGTGGCCGAACCCGGCCGATTTGGCCGACGGCCGCGGCCTCGGCCGAGTTTTCCGCCCCGGCCGTGACCGGGCGTGCAACATAGGCTCTCGCCACCACCAACATGAGTGTCCAGGCCCTATCTCCCTACTTGGCGCTCGGGGCCCAGCCTACTTTCTACACAGCTACTCTCTGCCTACTAATTGACAATACAACTGTTGACGTCAGCAGCCTCCGAAGTACTTGAAGATGTCGCCCAAGAAGACCATCGCCAATACCAGGTATGTGCCCTCACATCAGCATCATCATCATCCTTCTCTCTCTCCCTCGTCTTACTCCCACGTCTTCCCTCTGAACACCCGAAGACCACCCCTGCGCCTCACTGTAGTCCAAGCCCAACGGTGCTGCCCTCAGCAGCGCCCTGCTGCCTGCACGACCGCACGCGCTAGCACCTCGCCTCTCAGCGCCAGCAGCAGCCCGCGAGCGTCGCTCCAGCAGCGCTGCCGCTAGCATGCGAGTGCCTGAATGAGGCTCCCGGTGGCGAGCTCTTTCGTATATGGAAAGAGCTTCTTGCCTTCGCAGCCTGGCTGGATTGGCTTGGGCCCAGAAGCTTCCGGTAGGCCCCAGTATGTTGCGCTTGTGTTGCAGCTACTGGGCCTCTTTCGGTTGGGCCTCACAACTGTCAGTGTATGAGGCTGCGATTCTTGCCCAGGGACTGCATTCTTGGAAAGGCCCAGAAGGACGTGGGTTGTGCTGCTGCTCGGCCTGCGTTTTCCCTCAACCAACTGGCGCGTCGAAACTGCCTGGATCNCTGCATTCTTGGAAAGGCCCAGAAGGACGTGGGTTGTGCTGCTGCTCGGCCTGCGTTTTCCCTCAACCAACTGGCGCGTCGAAACTGCCTGGATCCTCCAAGTACGAAATTGACAGCTGAGGGCCTCTGGTGATTTGTTAGGCCCGCCTTTACTTAGGGTGGGCACATCTGCAGTAGGGGCCCCCTTAGGCCTGCCGAGGACCCAAATCCCTGCATTCTTGGAAAGGCCCAGAAGGACGTGGGTTGTGCTGCTGCTCGGCCTGCGTTTTCCCTCAACCAACTGGCG